AATGCCCACCCTGAGAACCACTCCCTTCTAGGACTCTGCTGAGGGCCTCCAACACCCAGACCCAGGTCCTGGGCTCGGCAGGCTGTGGGAGCATGGGCTCTAGCCTTCACTGCAGTGGGCCATGGGCTTCTGAGCCTCAGTTTCCTCACCAATTGAGATGGGACCTCTGAAAGGCTGCCAGGAAGATTCAGGGACATGAGGCACCGGCCCGGCGATGTCAGCCCCGAGGAGCGAGGAGCGATCCCTGTGGGTTTCTGAGACTGTAACTGTTCATTTACAGGAGTAGAAAGCCCAGTTTTTCTCTCTCAGAGCTCTAGTGGTTTCAAACTGCTGACCATGCAGATCAAAGCCCAACCCATAACCACTACATAGTTTCTTAGGCTAGAATCTTTTTAAAAAAATAGTTTTAATGACACAGTTCACATATTATGCACTTCAATCATTTGGTCATATCAAAAAGAGTTATACAATCATCACCACAATCAGTTCCGGAACAGATTTTTCCTTCTTGTGCTCATTGCTACTAGTTCCCCATTTCCCTCCAACATCCCCTCCCATCCCCCAAGAAGCCATTAATCCGCCCATGCTGGATCTCACATACCGAAAACAACAGCAACCACCATAACAAAACAAACCAGAGAAAACCTCAACCGAAAAGTAGGAAATATTAAAAACCAGAACAAATCTAAAAGTGGTCAAAGAGAGATCAAATGATAAAGTGTTAGATTTTAACCTAACTGGTTCTACAATAATCCACTTTTCATTACTCTTTGCATGATAACAAAGCTATTCATACCCCTTCATCCAGGCCAGAGGGGATTCACCAAAGGCTCAATCCATATTTATTTCTCCTTCTCTTTTTTTGTTCTATGAAACCTTAAAATGGATCAAGAGGGAGATCAAATGATAAGATGTTACATTTTACCCTAACTACACAGCCCTAATCGAGTTTGCAATGCTCTCGTCTGATAGTAAAGTTATTCACATCCCTCAACCACGGTCAGAGAGGATTCCCTGGAGGCTTAATCCATGTAGGGACCCTGCAAATGGATGTTGGGCTTCCACTGCCACCATAGCCACAGTCTAAGCTCTGATATCATTCCCTCCTTTGGCTTTGGCTTTTATTATTTATAATGCTTGGATCACACAGGCGGGTGTGCTTCTTCCATGGGAACTTTGATGGCTCACTTAGAGGGCTGCTTGTATTAAACTAAACCTTGAAGACAACAGAAGCTATTGTTTTTCATCTACATTCTTCCACATCTTGCTGTAGCTCCCATATCGATAGTGATCTCTTCATGAGAGCAAGCATCAAGCAGAGCCAAGTCATAAGACCAAATTGTTCTTAGACTGGGGCTAGAATTAGTGTGGTCCTAAAATCCATTCACGTATCTATGGCCTACCTTTGTTTCTGGTTCACTTTAGAGGCTCGTTATTGCCTTATGACAGAGGACATTCTCAGTCATCGCCCCTGGAGCCTGAGGTCATTCTGTTGACAGTGTCATTAGTTTACCCATTGGTATAGAATTTACACAATGTTGAGAAAAGAAGATGATGCAAGCAGAGACCCTCTGAACCACTTGATAGGAATTGGTTCATTTTCACAGCTCAAACTCGTAAGTGACTGGGCACTGTTGACACTGACAATGGAGGTTGTCAGGGCAAACATTTTAGTAACGTTCATTCACAAAGGCAGACTGTGCCTATCAGATTAATAGCTGTCATAGTAAAGCAAGGAGGGCATCCGAAAGGTAAATGAATGGTGAGTGTGAGCCTCCTTTCACTGGGAACCCCCAACGCCAGACATCCGAACTAAAGTCCAACAACCGCCGATTCCATAACCTTGGGGGGGGGGGGCAGTCATCTGTTTCTTCTCACACTCGGGAGCTTCAGCCTTAAGTCCAAGGTGAGGTTGAGGTAAAGCCTACTTCATTAATGGGGTTTCCACATTGAGTCCTTCTGGTGTGGCCTCTGCAGGATGTTGTGCACCTTGAAGGGACAGAGTCTAAAGACCCAGTCGTTTACAGCACACGGCCTGGGTCACCAAGGACTGGATAGAAACCCCGTCAAAGGTGTCTAATTAGGAACATACTACCGGGCTTATCCTCTGTGGGTTCTATTGAAGTATTGATAAGTGCTCCTCCCCATTTACCCACCAACAGAAATGTAAACCTCTTCTCTCAAACATACATGCTCTCCCACCCCCCATCTTGACTTGACTTTTAGGCTAGAATGTTTTTCCCCCAAGACCATTCTCTTAGGAGCTAAACTAGACATCATGCCATTCCATAGTTCAATCCTATCAAGGAGTGTTGTGCAATTGCTACACCAATCAGTTTCTAAACATTGTCTTCCTCCGTGAGCTCCTCGATATCAGATCCCACGGCCCCTGCCGTACCTCCCAGGCACCCTTATTCTAGTTGTCGATACAGTCACCTGTCCTGGGTCAGTCTCATAGACCGCAAAACATAGAAAAACACATGCAGAGAGTTAAGAAGGCTACTCATAATGACAACATACAACAGAGAGAACCCCCAATATGAACAAAAGACTTTACAGAAAATATTAAACCTCAGATCAATAGGCTAGAACCTGTCTAAGGGCAGATCACCAGGTCTCTTCTTCTGGGGGTTCTGATAGATTCAAACGTCCCAACCCTCGAGCATTGAATGCCAGGCCACTAGCTCCTACACACCCTTAAATGTCCACATTGGGGGCAGCTCCATGGCCCAGCCTAGATCGAGGATGTAAGGTAGGAACAAGATGTAAAGTCAGATGCTGACACCTGAGACATC